TATAGTTCGCTCGCGCTGCCGTATTTATGGCCGTTCAATAACAATAAATTTCTGCCATTTATCACTCAGCGAGAGCCGATAAACATCGACCTATCGCACTACTGAAAATAAATTAATGAATAAACAGTTTTATTGCCAAATACGCCCCTCGGCCAAGAGAAATATCTTTTAATTACTCCTACGCGGCGCCTATAGGATATCGGATTCGATTAGTAGATTCATGTTTACCAATTATTTTTGTAGGTTTATAAGCCCCGACGTTAATAAAAAGCAAATATCTAAACCTGATTTAATAAGCAAGAAATCTAAGAACATATTATTTAGGTAGGTAGGTAGATTTCGACAGTGACTCTAATCACACACGCATATACAGGGCGTTTTTGAAATAAGTACGTTCCCTGAAAAGGGTGACTTTTATTAAACAACTGATGGTCTAAATCCTTCTGCTTTTGAGAAATTTAATTAAGAAAATTAACCACAAATGTAAGCCGACCACTGTGCATCTTGTGCACGTGCACTGGCTGACGTTCCACGGGACTTATTTCAGAAACACCCTGTATCCATAAATCTGTATTATCAGTGTTATTTTGTACTTTGTCCGGTAATTGACGATTTCATTGTTGGACAAATAAATTCTATAAATAAATAAATAAATAAATGACATTAAAATGGGAAGCGCTGGACCCGGTGAAATGATACACCCTGTACGGGCCGCAGGAAACGGACGGAGCGAGAGCAGCACGGCGTAGGCCTAGCTCCGTTCGGGTCGGCGGACATTTGAAAGTCAATTACCGCCTGTGTCGCCCGGGGGCTGGAAGAAAGGGCAAGCGGGTCGCAAAAGGCCCCGGGGCGTAGCCCGAACGGCGCCAGACCGGTCTCCGGCGCTGTCACGGCCTGGCCGAGGGCCCGGCCCCGGGATTTGCACGTGCAGCACATCGATAAGACCGGAGACGGGGCCGCGGCACGACCGTGTTCAGGTTTCCAGAAGGGGTACCGAAAGAGAGAGAATAATTGGGTAAAAATTGCTAAGTAAGGGCTTACAGGGTTTTATTCCAACAAACAATACTAGGTATAGTCTTTCCGAAGTCGGTTGAACATGTATAAAAACGCCTAGCAATAAAATTTAATTAGTTTCATAGACGTCCCTAAAAAAGTTTTCTGCTAAACGTAAAAAAATAATAATAATTCGTATATAATGTGCAGAAAGTTTCTATTATACAGGTTGTTTCAGGATTAAGTCGACAAACTTTAGAGATATTCCTCATAAAAAAAATAAGAAAAAAATTAAGTATCTATGGAAAAATGGTATCTTATAAGACCATGTATATAAAAAATGTATATAAATGGTATCTTATGTAACTTATATTATTCCGCAAATTTTTATTTGGAACTTCTCGAAGTTTTATAGGAACTGTTTTTTATTTCTAGAAAATGATTACCATTAGGATCAGGTCCATATGCTAAACGTACCGCATAGCGTGGACGTCCTGTACACGAACATTATGCGGAATCGTGTAAAATATTGAAAATTTCCCTTTCATAGTCCCACCTATTAACTGAATCCCCAAAGGCTTCGCCATCGATCCACCGCACAACTTCAACCAGGGGATTCACACAATGCAATGGCTATGGGAACGTCGTTATCTCATCTGGTCCATCTGGGGGCCGATTCTTTCAGCTAGGCACCATCCACCGCACGATCATGAAGACGTTTTGTTTTAATAGCGGTACTCGCACGGTAATAAATCATAATTTTCACACAGCGCTGACATTCATTGCTTTTAATCTATCATGTTCGCTAAGGAGTTCTCACGTCTGTGACGGAGGAAAAATAGCCGCCCGGCGTGTACAGGCGCATGGTTAAAAATTCTGTTTACACAGCCTCGGATCTAACTGTAGTACACCTCGTAATAGAAACATGTGTCGCGCGTCTTGTTACTGGTTTTGTGATATTGATGTCCGTGAATTGTTGTACGCCGGACGTTTTAAACAAACCTTCGGTCAACTTAACAGTTGGTTACCGGATGTTACAACTAATTTTTGTCAAAGCGCAACGTGGGAGACATGACAGGTGAGTGAATTTGAAAAATAATATAATTTGTTATAAAAGAATGATTTAAATATTAAACGATCGTAAAATAATCTAAAATATGGAGTATCTCCAGATTCTGGCTGTGCACGTGCACAAGATGCACAGGGTCGGTTTACATTTATGATAATTTTCTTAAAACAGAAGCATTTAAAGTCTAAATGCTTCTGATGGTCTAAATTTTAGACCATCAGTTGCTTAATAAAAGTTGCTCTTTTTCTTGCCCTCTAACACCCTTTTCAAGGAATGCATTTATTTCAGAAACACACTGTGTACCAATGCAGTAGCATATCGCATAAATTTTTATATTTAACTTCCCTCTCATGCCTGGGATTTAGGATGTTAAAGTATTGTTTCAAATGACTCGTTTTTACAACCCCTAAATTTAAAAAATTGCTTCTATATGTACATATTATATATTTCTGAAAAGAGAAAAATTTAACGAAGCTAAGTATGCACTAATATATAGGGTGTTACATTAAAAAATATATTTTCTTTAATTTAGTGATTTCCATTATTCAATTGTTTTTCTAATACTAAATTCATAAAAAAGTTAAAACTTTTGTATTAAAACCTTTTTTGTAATTTCAATAATAAACTCACAATAAGTTGTCAGATTATAGTGACTAACTCTGTACATATTATCACGTCATCTTTGGAAAGGAACGGGCTCAAAGTTAACGAAACGATAAAAATAACGCACAAATGATTTACAGCCTTCCAACCACATAAATTTACTTATCTGTAAAGTTAAATACTAAGGAAAAACTTAATTCGTACGTTATTAGGTTCCACTCTTGGCTTACTTTTCAGATATACAACTCAAGTTCAGCTATAAATTTAGTCGATATTACAAAAAAAGTAAGTCTGTATTTAAAAGTAATTTAAGTATAAATCCTTCTGATAAGTGTATTCTAGACATGGACGGTTGGATTTCCATTTCAGAAAAATAAAACGGACAGCAGAATGCTAAAGAAACTTGGTTTGCAAATCAGCATGTATTGCAGTGCTTAAAACAATAGACATTGGCGTACATATATACAGGGTGTCTCATAATTAGCTGCCAACCCTGAACAGGCCGATTCTATGATCAAAACTAAGTAAAAAAGTTCATATGAACATGGGTCCGGAAATGCTTCCTAAGGGCACAGGGACCCATTGAAGAGGGAGGAATGGAAATAATTTTTTTGCAATATCTCAATCGCGTTGTGATAAATGAATGAAATTTGGTATACACAGCTAAATTTTGATGAGCAATTTGATGGACTAATCCATTTATTTCCACAAGGTCCATTGGGGTGGATACGGGGGGCCCTTGGTACTTTGCGTGTGTAACTTTTTCATCTTTGACTTTTTAACAAATTGGACAGCAAATTCCGTTTTCCCGAACTGTTTTACGTTAAAAAGGTACTCTTGTTTCAAATCGTTATCTTTAACGGTTTCTGAGAAAATCGCTCTTGAATTAATCCCACTTTGGTCAATTTCATAGTAACTTAAACAAATAATAATAATTTTCCTTTCCTCTCTTTTCCATTTAAAGGATTAATTTTTATTTAATTTAATTTTTTATTATTATTTTTTTATTAAAATTAGATTAAATTTAAACAAAAAAATTTTTTTTGGAAGCATTTCCGGTTCATATGAACTTTTTTACTTAGTTTTGATCATAGAATCGGCCTGTTCAGGGTTGGCAGCTAAATATGAGACACCCTGTATACATTTTGTATATGTTATAAACACTGTAAGTTATACACAATAACACACCTGATAGAAAAATTATTCGATTAGTTAGTTTAATTATAATGTTAATAGCAAATCAAAAACGTGATGAGAAATTAAAGTGAATCATACTTAAAACAAATTGAGTTATTCCGTTACCACGCACAGATGGCGGTTTGACCTTTCCACGCTTAACAATGTAGGTGTTTGACTTTGATTTTGCATTAATATTGAATTAAACAGACAACCTATCAATATGATCATCCATTATCCTTAACTCAGGAAATACGGAGAGGGATATTTCGTGATGTTAAATTCCATAAAAACAAAATTGACCTAATCTACATAAGTTTCCATATACTAATCTGTTTCAAATACTAGGTAGGTACATATATTCAAGGAAAAATCAATTTCTCTCAGTCTTTCAAGGCATTTGAACGATCTATCAAAATAAGTCTTTCGATATAACCTGTTGAAATAGTAATGACAGTAATGATGTGACATTGACGATATTCTTCAAGAATCACAACAGAAATTATTAATGTACACTATAAACTGTGCGACATAAAGTAATTCAGAATTAAATTCAATTCAACAATGGTAAATAAATCTGAAAGTCGTACTTCATGAACTGGCCATGGTTATCAAACTGCAGTCGACCAGGGTTGACGATCGATCACATTTACCGAGAACTCCGCGAAGTTCCCTATATAGTGTTCCGGTGATAATTTCGATTCTCGACCGGCGCTGTTTGGATGACTTTGGTGATATTACAACGCTAGAGATGTCTGTGAGTGGGTTTATGACAACTTATTGAAAAATGCTTATTATTTAAAAACTTTTCCCCTTACTTAACGCCTAGGAAATCATGACATGGAAGAGTTCCTTTTCAAGAAACTACATCAAAACGGCGATTTTTTTTTTCGTTGTTTTGGATTAAAATTTGACTTTCTCAGGTTCAAACCAGGTAAAGCATAACCGAGCTGGATCTAACCCAGCGTAAATCACCGAGATAATCTAACAGCCGCGGTGCCGTACGTCCGATGGTTTTATTTACCAACACGACACCCAACAACGGCCGAGTTAATTCTTTTATCCCTCCCATCTCCTGGAGGACCTCACAGAATCGCACCCTACCACGGCGCGGCTTCCCATGATCCAACGACACGCTCAGTCAGTCCGATTCCAGTGGTCTGCATTGTAGCATCGCGGCGGCTTTGGAACTGCGCTCTCAACTGTTTCGCGTTTCTTGCGGTCGACGCGATTGATGTGAGACGGGAAACCGCATTTATGTTCTTTCACCCCGGTAATGGCAAACTTTAGTGTGAAACGGAGTGCGAGTGATTCCGAGGAACAAAACCTGATGTTGTACAGGTGAGATAGTGCGGAAAAAATGACGAAAGGTTCCAGGTTTTCGTAAGACTGACAGGAAAAACAGATTGGACCAGTCTAGAAATAAATAAACTGACAAATTTTACATTATGATTCTTGAATATGAATAAAAATTTGGTTCAGTTTGTGCAACACAAGTATATATTTGATTTCGATAAAAATGTTGCTTTTACTAAAAGAAGAAAATTAAAATATACAAATTCCAATATTTATTTTATAAATAATTGAGAAATGTGCTAAAAGAGGTTATAACATGCAAGTATAGTTTGGGTTTTTACCTTTCAAAAATTTGATTTATTTAAATATTACCACCATAGACACCTACTTCTTAAAGCTCGTCAAGCCATGGTTGTTTATTTTTTGCTTTTTGAAGTCAACTGAATAAAAATTATGTATGAGTTCATATATTTCGTTTATCAGGCAAACTTTTACAACCTATTTAGTGATGTACCTAACTGGCATCTATCTACTGTTCTAGATATATCGCATTAAATAAAAAAATGTACGGCTAAAGTTGATGATAGATTAATTATTATTCGTGACATTTTCAGTTCATGACAGGACTGACATTTATCGCATAACATTTGTGTAAGACACTGATGGCATCGACCAAGAAATTCTGCCTCGGGATGGCCATTATTCTTCAAGTTCCAGCAATGTACGTTGATTGATATAAGAATAGATTAAATTCGATTAATTTGAAAATTCAAGCATTTGTTTTCTTCTAAGTTCAATATTAATATGAAGCATGTTAGTAAAGTGATATTTAAAACGTATTTGCAACTACTGTAAATCAAAACTATACAACGGGACGATAAAATTGGAATTTGGAATGGAAATTTAATAAATATTTCGTTATTCTTCTCTGATTACGGTTTTCTTATAAAAAAATTACTACAGTTCTAGAATATAGAATCAAAAAAATGGCAGTTTTGTTCGTTGGTCTCGCTACTTTTTAGGCGCTTGTTAATTTAACAATGGATTCATTAATCATGGAAAAATTTGTTTTGAAAACATGGTAATTTTCAACGACCTTTGTAATTGTGCCTTACGCAAACAACAATTTTTATTTGTCATTTACCACTCAATAACATTTCTATATTTAAACCATCACTGTGAGACAGAACAAAGATTTTTCATAAAATACAAAATACTGCTACAAAGCACAGAATCTGATTAATTTTTGTGGTTTTAGAATTTTATAACCATTGTTTTGTGGTCTTTTTTATTTTGGAAATATAATTTCCTTTGTTTTCTATGCCTGTTTCAAATATTATACCATCCCAAAAATTGTCGAAACTGTAGGATTTATAATATTATAGCCACAGGTATTGGTATAATCTTTCCGAAGTCAGTTGAACATGTAAAAAACGCCTGGCAGTAAAATTTAATGACTCAAAGGCGCCCCTAAAAAAGTTTTCTGCTAAAAGTAAAAATTATAATAATTTGTATTGTATAATATGTAGAAAATTTCTATTATATGTTCATTTCGCCAACAAAATATTTTAATTATTTATGTCCTCAAACAATTTTATTATATTGATGGTAAATTTCGTTTTGTTCCGTTTCAAAAGGTCTCCAAAGTGCCATGTTGTAATAATATTATTTCTCCCTTTCGTAATTGTATAATTAAAATTACCTAAATCACACCAAATTCCACATTGCTGCACTGCACTGCTGGGCAATTTGTCAACCACTTGTCAGCAGCTGAGATTTATTACCCAGTGGCCCAATGCAGCTTTGTTTCTATTTCGTTTGCCCGCGCTCGCATTCGTCAACTAGGCGCATATATATTTCTACCACCTATACGTTATATTACGACTTATAAAAATGTAATAATTTCAGAGAAACCTACACTTTCAAAGGGTGCTGCTTGAGTTGAAAGTTAAAAATTTAGTATTATTAGCTGCAAGCAACTGCTATTGCTACAATATTAGATTATAAATCCTATTCATTTTGCGTTTATGAGCTTACGAAATCAATCCACAACCACCCAAAAGGCCTACTGACGATAGACAAACCAAAATTGGTATAGGTTATTATAATTTATTTTGTTCTGAATGCTCTCGCGTTGAAAGCAGTTGACAGATCTGTAGGTGGCGATATTTATTTTACTCTTAGTCAATTCCTAGTTAGGTATTTTGTTAAAACAACACTTAAACACCAGTGTGAGTTTATTCTACGTGTATTTTATAAAGAAATGCAAATCTGTTTTTTCGGTTGTTTTAAATTATATTTTAACAACGGCCACTTAACTTCGACAGTGACCAAAAAAATGCACGTTTACTTTATTAACATTCAATTATAATTTATTAAATTATGCGAGCAATTCATCACCACATTTTTTGTCGTCAGCTATTTTTGTTAGGATGTATCTATTTACATTTCTCTATAACTTAAAATATGCAACTTCATCGGACAAACATTATTAACGGACACAAATAGAAAATGAACGACTTTCCAAAGTTTGATATATTTTGCATGATAAAAAATCTAAAATATATTCGTTTCACAAAACATGTTTTAAAAAAATGGCATCATGGAAATTGCTTTTTATCATAGAAATAAAAATGTTTGATCTAGAAAGCCATTTTTGCCGCTTCTCATTTAATCAATATGACTATAGCCAGGTAGGCGAGCTGGTCATAGTTAATATATAATATATAAGAATAGATTAAATTCGATTAATTTGCAAATTTGGTGAATTTTTGCTATTTTTGACCTGTTTTTTGAGGTTAGGAAATTCCTGTGATGTGATCAATTCTGACACCGGATTCGTGATCAGGGGCAAAAATACTACAAATAATATATGCCGCATGAAAAGTACAGACAACTTTTTTGTGTCTGTGTAATCTTTGATTCCCCAGGGACTTCGACCTTTGATTCATTAACGTATCTTTTCGAGGTACATAATTTGAACGTAATTAACGGTTTTTGAGATATTTTCAGTCTTTTTTAAGCTTCTACAGCTATTCTTTGCGTATTTTGCTATTTCTGATGTATTTTGAATGTATTTCGATTTATTCTACGATGTTTCATTACGGATTTGAAGAATTTTTGCAATCTAAAGCAAGTTCGACGAATTTTTTTAAGTATTATTATGTATTCCAAACTTTAATAGCTTTGATAGCCTAATGACAATAATTGTGCGCAACCTCCAATACTAAGATTCCCAAAGTTGTTCCTACACTCGACAAACCGTATCTGGACCATCCTGTAACCGACGGGCGGGCCGAGAATGCACCGCGGCTATTAAAATCCTTTTAAGCAGTAAGAAAGGATCGGGTATTGATTGCGATATGCTGCATTTCCTCTTACATACACCCATTAAGATATTCTTGTAAAGGCGGCCCATTATTGTAATAGTTTAATGGTTCTTACCAGGACGACGAGAATGGCATCGGTCGCGTCACTCGTTCCGTTCTCAGACACGATTGCGATATTTGTTGAAATATGTATGGTCGCTTGTGGGCAACGACTGGAGCCCTTGGGCGAATGCCGACTGAGGACATTCTGATCTGCAAACGGATATAGCATGGGCGTCGGTAGACCTCGGCAAAGGGGAATGGTTGGTTTCCTGTAGACGCAAACACAGAGCAGAAAGATGTTGGGTCTCACGAGTAAGTCAACAAATGCTTGGATCAAGTATCTAGATGCTTTATTTGAGGCTGTGCAACATTTTGAAAATTTGAAAAAAAATTCCATCACTGAAATGATGAATCTAAAGGAAAGAGTCTTTGTGGATTAAATTTCCTTCTCCCAGTGAAAGAACTACAACGTTTAAAATGAAATAAATACCTTTGCAACAACCTTTCACGTTGAAGCATCTACTTTTACTCTTTACATTAAGCAAATGCTCGTGTTATTTATGAAATCCATTCTTGTAGCGAATATTTTATAAAAATCGATTTACATTTGTTTCCCAAAACAATTTACATATTCTTTTACTGTAAAGAATACCCCAACAAAAGAAAATTACCTAAACAATGCCACAAATAAACAGTTCCAGGTAACAGGATAAGTCGTATAACCTTTTACAAAGAAAATTCACCGCATTCCTGATTGACTAATGTTCCACATTTATCTCTAGCTTAAGCGGCTACATTAAACTTTTAAAATTTTATCTAAGATGTTTGATGATGGTGACATTTATAATTATTGCCTAAACAGTTGTTTGTTGCAGGAAATTTAAATCCAGCTTATTTTGTAATGGATCAAGTCTATATTTAATGTTAAGATTTGTCAGAAACGTCACATCTAAACTGTTTCTCTTCTCTTTTAATATTCTCTAAGTGTTCACGTTAACTATAACTCCAGAAAGCTATATTATAAGATAAGATGAGAAAATGATTTGAACAACATGTGACTGAATAATAGAGCAAAGTGTATAAGAAAAGAATATTGAGAAAAATTGTGGTAAACTGAGAAATACTTATCAACAGGAAGTTCGAGATAAGAGAAGCAATGAAAAAGTTATAGGAGTCAAAAAATTGTAGTTTATAAACACAGGAAAAGATACGACGCAGAGGAATTTATAGAGAAAAAACTCAATTCTCTGAGGAGTGTTAAGAGCGGAAAAGCAGTTTGAAAACTTGCATCAATAAGTCTATTTTCTTCAAGTTTTCACACACATGACTACTAAAATTTTGGAAAATATGTTGAAGGGTGTAACAAATATACAGGGTCCTGGTACTTGATACAAAAAAGTCGAGTACAAGTAGATGAGGTAAAAAAAAAATATCAGTTCTTCACATACATTTTTTTCATACGGGCCTTCGTTAGCAACTTACGGGCCCTCAAAGGTGAAAATTAAATTTAGTCTCTAATCTATTAACTCCAGCATAATGGTGATCGTTAAACATGCGCATAAACCAAACGTTCCTGCGGATGTCTCATGGAACATCGTTTAATAGTGGCTGCAAATTATTTTGCAAAAACTTCAAACATCGATTTCCAGACGTTTTTCAAAAACGTTTGGACCT